AAGAAACCATAAGTTGCCCCGGTAAGGTTTATGTCTAATAAGGGTCTCCCACTGATGCACCCTAACCTCAGGAAAAACACTAGAGTAGACAAAAACTCCCCACATTTTGTCAGGAAAACCATCCAGCATAAAACAGACTTCAAAACCAAAATCAAGGAGAATAATCTCAATAATAGAGATTCTAGGGGACCAACAAAGCAAAAGGCCCCCTCTACTACCCAGAGGATTTATATATTCTCATCTATCACCTACCAAAAGATTTTTACAAACAGTTTTGACAAAAGATTTTTGCTTTTTTGTTTCAGAAAGAAAAATGAAATCAGGGAGGTAGGCTCTGATTTTGTCCTTCAACTGGGAAATTGTAGAGGGTCCTCCCAAACCTCTACAATTCCACACCAAAGCTCTCATTTCGAAACTTGGGACCAGTTATGGTTGGTTTCCTCCACCAAATTTGCAAGATCATTGGAATTTGTTTTAGATTTTTTGAAAACTGATTCTTGAGGTTCAGACTCAAAGTTATCAAAAGCAAGGGTTTTTCTTTTTAAAGAATCTGAAGCAGAGTGGGAGATAGGGTTAGAAGTTTTAGGGGGAGAAGGAGAATTATTAGCTAATTTGTTTCTGGTAACCCTAATAAAAGTTTTGGGCTTATTGGCAGGAAGAGAAGAAGGGTTACACAGATGGATAGGAATGCTAACAAGGCTTTCCATGAGGACCTCAGTTTGTTTTAAGGAATCAAGATCCATGGTTTCACAAACTGCAATGGGAATAGAGCTGGTACCAAGATTATCAGAATTATCAGTTCTGATAACCTCAGTCTCAATGAGAGAACTGTGCTTAGACTTGCCTTTGTTAAAAGTTTCAGCTTCAGGGTTAACAATGAAGGTATCAGAATTTTTCCCATCCCCACCAGAAAATCCCAGATCATTATCAGAAGAAGGTTCCTTACCACAATTAGAGAGCAGACCTGGACTATTTGGGCTAGGGGATCGATTTTCCATGAACCCGGTGAAACCACCCGGGGTGGCTCTCAGCCATTCTCCAAATTGGCCTGTTCTTAGCACATTCTGATTCATATCCTCTTTTTTGGTGTCGCAGCTTCTATCATTGTGGCCAATCTTGCCACAGTAAAAGCAAAATGTCAGCAAACTTTTATATCGAAAATCAATCCATTTCTCCTCCTTTCTTAATCTCAAATTGGTGCCTCTCAGAATAGGCTCGAGAACATTGATAGCTACTTTGATTCTGATTATTCTTCCATTAACGCTGCCAGTTCCCGGAATCACCACTTCACTAACAGACCCAAGAATTTTTCTTATTTAAAACCCCGTCTCTTCAAAAATCCAATGCAGTGGGAGATTGTGAATTTGGACCCATAGCTGGACTTTCAACTCATCCTCCAAGAAATCCACCTGATTTTTCCGCATTCTTTCAGAATTAGGTACTGATTATCAAAAGACCAGACCCTCCTCTTAAGAATCCTCAACTTGTCTTCCTCCAGCTGAAAGAGGAATTGAAACATATTAGGTCCAATCGCTCTGATGGAGAAAGGTTTTTTAGGCCGCCACACGATATTCATAGTTGCCTTGAGACCTCTAATACTGACTTTTTTATCTCCGATAATCCGGCCTATTAGACTGCGCTCACATTCACTTATTCCTGGTTCGACATCCCCATCAGCCAACGTAACGCCACCTATTTCTTTCTCTGAGAGAGCGAATTTACGGAGCTTATATGTTATATCTTGCTCCATGCAAAGATCAGAACCCCTTAATATGGATGATTAGAAATTAAGAAAGCACCGCAGAGATGATCCTTGCAAAAAAAGAAAATAAAGAGTAAGAAAAAGAAGAAACCCTAGAAAGCGAAGAAAGGGGAAAATATGACCAAAGAAAATAAAACCCCAGCGAAATTAAAGAGAAGCAAGAGAAATCCACAATCATGGAACCAGCCAGATCTCCAAAGTAGAGAAGGGAAACTTTCCAAAGAGGAAAACTTCCGTAATATTGAATTTAAGTTACAGATTTTCGTCGATTTAATAGTATTTAATAGAGGATAAGTAATGGGAGTAATTTTCTCAATTAAATTTCATAACGCGTTGCCTATATAAACTTTAAGAGAATTCTCAATTAGCCTATTCTCGATCGTCGACGAATGTTTAAGTCTATAATGAATTTATCACTCCATGATGATTAAATTATTTTTTAGAAACGTCAATTATCACGTTTAAGAAAATCATAATATCCCAAAAATTCAATCGAATGCAAAACAATTTGTGGAATTTGAAAAGACAAAAACCTAATGACCGCGCGTCGCGACGCGGCAAAATTAAAATTTATAAGTTTTCCTCGACTAACCTCTACTAACTAGTAGTAGTGGCAAGTAAGGGTCGATCTCACAAGGAGTGTGAATTAAATTGTAAATTTTTCATAATAATTGAAATTATGAAAAGCGATAAATGGGGAGGTTTTGTGATATAAAAGCTAAACTAACCACCTAGGTTAAAATCCAGCTAAATAGTTTCGTGAAAATTATGACTAACGAGTTCGTAAAGCATAGGTTTTTCACCTGGACCGGCCCGACGGGTCGACCCGAGTCGGACCGGTCCGAGTGGGCTAGTTGGGCCAGGCAACAAAGGACCCGGTCAAAGTCTGGACAACCCGGCCTTGACCCAGCCGACCCCGGGCATTGACCCGGCCGGGTCAACCCGGTTGACCTGACCCATATATATATATTTTATTTTATTTGGTTTTTTTGGTTTTAAAATAAAACTGTGTATGCGTGCAGGGGCGAAGCTAGAAAATTAGTTGAGAGGGGGCAAAAGACATGACATAATGGGTTCAAAACC